GAAAGTCTGTAATATTATTACAGATCGTAGAGAAACATCTTCCTTACGTATTTTTAGGAACCTATATTTTTTGAAATGGTAGAGCCCGACTATCTCATGTGTTAAAGCAAATTACCCCTAATGACTGATTTATCCTTCATTTTTCTTTAGATTTTTGTTAGTTTGTCTTTAACTGGATTAGTTGTATCTTTCTTGATAGCTTCTTTGGGGAATTTGCCTATATTTTCTATTAAATAAAAAAATTTACTAGTTAGTTCCATTCCATCCAAACGACAATTCCAACACGTTCATCTGAACAAAGTGATGGTAACTCCTTATTTCCAAAATAATCATTCAGCTGAGATATTTTTTCTGATAGGAGTCGTCTCATAGCACATTTTATACTAATATGTTGGTAGTAACAATTAACAAACGTGGACCCGAGTTATCTAAATGTCTCCAAAAGCTGCAGCTAAATCAAATGGTTAATTGATTAGACTTCAGAATTGTGTTTTTGTGTGAATTTCATCAACATTTGTCAGTGACGTAAACTCTTGGACTGAGAAACAATGCCTGTATTTGAAAGGCAGATAACAACATACTACAATAATTGAACACATATTTCTTGTGTGCTTTGAGAAAAAGAAGTGTAGAACTCCCTTTGTCTTAATCTCTTCAACAGCCATAATGTCATATCTTCTCAACGTCTTTTCACAATGGCGTCAACAAGTGTTATCTCAAAAATCGTATAATCCATATGTTATTTTGTGTTCAGCTTCTGCCGCCCTACATTTTGTCTTTTCTACGTAATTCACGAAGAGTTGTTTAATATAGTGGTATTATGGTTAGGTGTGGTTTGGACAGAAATTTTTTCAGTAGGGTTTAGACTTTTTTATTGCAACAGCAGCATTTCGTTTGATGACTCAATAGATTCTTTTCGTTGTTTTAAAATTGTGAAATATTCAGCTTTTATTAACGCCCATAGAGTTTAGATAAACTTTTACTCTTTTTTTAATCTCAGTGGTTGAAATTAGATTGTTTAGGATCTTTCTTATGGTCAGTCGTGACCGAGCGCTTCTAGTGAAATAATCAGATAAAAATTATCTACTAAACTACTTTCATACTTACATAACTCACAATTATAACATAAATCAAGCCCTATATCTGTACATTTATGGAAGAGTTCAAATCTCTTTCGACATTCTATTCATAGTTTTTTTCCAAATTTCATTTATATACAAAAGAATGGAGTTAAATTATTGTGAAAATATCTGAATGAAATTTGTTTCAACTAAAACAAGGTTAGATCATCAGATATTTGTTCTATTATACTCGTAACCGGCTACCATGTGACTGCATCTTCTGATGTTGATCCACTGCCTTGTGGATCAGACCTTTAGGTAGAAGGCTCCAGATGTGGCTCCCTAAGAAAACCATCTGCTTCGGTCTGGATACCAGGGCAGCATCACAGCTCACATACAAACCAAGTGACTTGTGTGGCGCATATTCATTCGGTGCCCCTTTGTACTAATATTTATGTGACCCAATAAATAAACTGACAAATTAATAAAAATTAGTAGGAAGATATTTAAGCAGAAACATTTTTATTGTTAGATTTCTTAATATAAAAAGTAAAAAAAATAATAATCCAAGATATTATCATGTCACTATTTATTACGATGCTTATTTATTTACCAATTATCAAACATAATTCAATGTATTGCTCAACATTTTGTCAGAAGAGATTATTATTAATATTTTAAATTGATTTCTTAATTAAATGATAAAATGCTGCGATAACTAGATCGCTACTTTACTGATAAGGAAAAATATCAAATTCCAACAGAAATATTCTTTAAACAATATGCCACTGAGAAATTGAGTGTATAAATACGTATTGGATAATTGAAAATGTTACCTATAAACAATAAATTTAGCTTAAATACCGTAACTTCGTTATGATAATAAGTTAATAGGTAAAAATATTGATTAAACAAGTTTGTGAATGGTTGAACAAGATCGTGGATTAATTATTGTTGAACACTAACACTTTCAGGTACCAGCTCAGTAATGTAAAACTTAAGCGTTCGCGCACGTGGCCAAGAGCCCTGAGTTCGATTTCCGCACGCGATGTAGAGGTTGCTTACTATTGAGGAGTTCCAATCTTATACGAAACGGCCGTTCAGTTCTTCCAGGTTTTGGATGGTGATCTAGTTGAATTCATTTGTAATTTTAACCAAATATCATTCTCCTCTATTAACTGTTTGGAATTTATTTTTATTACAAAGCATATCACCTTAGTCGAATTTTAACTCCGTTACATCAATATGTAGTCGAATTTAATTATCAGATGACTTTAGTTGTAAAAGTATGTAGATTTTACACAAATTCACGCTTGACTGGGATATTTTGTTTGATAGTTTTGGAGCACTATTATATGAACAAAGTAAAATGTATGCCTTGATTATATTCATTTTAGAGGTGACAGTGGTAGACACTATAGATAATTTGATAAAAAATGATTTACATTAGGACGTGATACGCTTCTGTTCTTTGCGTTGAATAAATCGATGAAGATTGATTGCCAGTCAGATTAGCTATAAGTTACTTATACTTCATTATCAATGTGTTTAGTATCATTTCTTTGTCAATATTTCTGAATTTAAGAACGTTCATAACTTCAGGACTGTAATGTGTGTGGTAGGCACTCCTCGTAATGATGTGATGCTACTTTGTTTAGAACTACTGATTTGAATTAAGAAAATGCCAAGATAGTTTTAAACGGAGTCTATTGAACTGATGGTATTTTCGGTCAATGAAACCAATGGCAGAAAGAAATTTAGTATTATTTAAACTGTATAGTTCTAATGCGATGCCGATGGTTCACGTTCCGTATAACGAACTATTGGTGGAAGACTTTCAAAGTAGTCTACCCAGACTTCTGTCACAACAGTCTTGAATCTGAACTAATAGATCCCCCCTAAAATGCGATAACTAAGATGAGTAGCAATATATTACTCTAGGGTTATATACTTGAGTTACTAAAATTTATACGGCAAAATATTTTTGTGAATTTAACTGAGCTACTTATTTAGAAATAAATAGTAAAGTGTGTTCTGGGAAATATTTTCGCAATCATTCACAAACGCTCAACGATCTTGTGAAATTATTTTTAAATACGAGAATAAAATTATCACTCTATTTTATTAAGAAGTACGTAACATTGGTTGAAAAGGGTTCCAAGTGTCAATGATAATCTCCTGTTTACATGGGATTCCCTCATAAGTCCATGGAATAGAAACTAATGAAAACTATTATATCTACAGTATCTCTGATTTTGAGTCTATGTCCTTTCCATGTGTTCTAAAAATTCCTTATACCTATGGGTTGAATATATTTTAGATATGGTATGGTGGTTTGAACATCTATAAATAATTTTAGTGGTATAAAATGTACGTGAACGGATTAACTTGAAACAAACGAAAACTAGAGGTCACAAAATAAATATGTTCTTCTTGTATGTGAAAGTTTCTACAAATGATCCTATTGGTAATTGAACTCCGAACCTTTGGATTTCACAGTAAAGTATTATTAAAACTACCATTGATTTAAGATGCAGTAGTTTATATTCTAGCATTCATTTGATTCATGATATTGGACTAACATCATTCATCACAATATCACAAAAAGAATTTTGTAGAAGTACTACTAGTTTTAACTTTTGTCTATCTAAAATCAATTTGTGATTCAAACTAAAAATTAACCAACAATAACAAATCTCCAACAATGATAACCATAACCATATAAGCTAACTAAAGTGATTTGAATGCAGCTCTACTTTATTAAGTAAATGTTTCCGTAAAATAGACTTCCTATGTAAAGTTCATTCATTCATCTTTCAGATTGCTTTATACATGTACTTAGAAACGTTTTCACTACAACTCACTTAAACCAAAAAATATATATAAAGTTCAATTATCTTATACGCTGTGTAAATTTTAGTTTTCTTTATCAGCATTTCAATAATGTCAGTGATTTATAATATCTTTGATTCATCGTAATTCCCTAATTATTGTTATAAACAAGAAATCGTTCAAACATCAATAATACAAACTAATTCATCTCTCAATCAAGCATCAGATGTCACTTTTGTTGAATACAACAGAATTTTTTAAAATTATTAAATCCTAGTTTATAAGTACTCTCAATTCATAAACTATTGAAATTTTACATAATAATATTGTTTACAATAACTGTATACATTTTAACATTGAAATCGCTAAAACTACATAGTACACTATGAAGAAGTTTCAATTGCGTACATAACCATTGAAAAAATTTAAAAAAATAGCAACTAAACTTTATAATACCTACTGTTACACATATATAATTAGGAACTTATCAATATAAATTTACCCCTAATGGGAATAAAATGAATAAATTCACATTCATGTCAATATTACAAATATAATTTCTATACATCAGAAACTAAAATGATACGTAAAATAGTGAGAGAATTTTACTTTTTATTTAAAAAATATATATGCACTATACACATTGATTGGCACCACATATATATCTATCCGTTTAGTAACATAAATAATGTTAAATAATTAATAAAAATCAATTTCTTATTTTCATTTATTTCTTTTCTTTTCTTCAGTAACTGTAATTCTCTTGAACACTTGTTTAATTCATTACTGTTTTTGGTTTTAGTTTTCTTTTCTTTTTTTATTATTATTAATATTTTCAGTATAGTGAGTGATTTTATCCTTTTCCTATATATATATATATATATATATATATATATATATCACGGAGTGGATTTAATTTCATTAATCAAGAACTTAATTATATATATGTTAATATATATTCGTTTGTTTGTTTGTTCAACTTTAATTTACCAATGATTGGTAGATAATATCAAACTTAATAATAATGAGATTTTCTACTTAGACAGATCTTCTTAAATAATAATGATGTTTGTATGTGTACCTATACAGTAAATTGTTATATATTATTTCTAAGTAAAACTTATATATATATCCAAGTCAATTTATTTAGACCAATCAGATTATTTCAATTTTATTTGAATATAAATATAATAAAAGGCACATCTTAACTGTATTAAAAAAACAAAATAAAACAACAACACGTTTTGATAGACTGTTCCTGACACATTATACATTATAATGGATATTATTATTAACTTAATATTATGGAATCATTATACAAAATGGTCTAATTCAATTTATAAATTATTAAATAATTATCCTCATTATTACATAAATGACTTAATTTAAACAAGAAAAAAAAATAACATTCATTGAATATGATTGCTATGTTTAACAAATGATTAATTGAAATTATTAAACAACATGTAATATAATAAAGAAAGATGGTTTTACCACAACAACAACAAAATGGAGGATGGAAACAAAAAAAGGATAAAATTTAATTAGATTAATCATTATTCTGACTGTTTTATTTTGTTGTGTATTTTTGTTGTTTTTCTTTACCGGTGAAATGTGGATATTTATTGATAAACTATTCATATGGTTTCTTTTGAAAATAGTCATAATTATGGATGTATTACCTTTAATGGTTCATAGTTATTCTAATCATTTATGTAAAATAAAACAATTTCAAATACCAGTGAATAGTGAGTTTATATTGTAAACATTTTGTCATTTTAATAAAATACTTATTTATACACTTATTTAAGACCCGTTACTCACAGTGGAATATAGGCAGATACACGTTGATATATCGTTTCTTCATAGCTTATATTGTCAGTTTGTTGAAAACATTTATGAAAATCTGTGACAAGAAAAACAAAAGGGATAATTATTTATCGATATATTGAACATAGATATTGAGAAATTTTCGTTTTTTTCTCCATCTACATGAATAGTTTCTTAACAGGAATCTAGAATCAGTTTTATCTAGTAGAATAACTCGTATATTAAACGGTTATTTAATAGAGTTTTATTAAAGTTTAAATTATAGTCTATTATGTTCATATTTTTGTTATATAGGCATTCTTTATTTTTTAGCAGTTATCTAGCAATGAAGCTAAGAAGAGCTATTTCTTCCGAAATCTCTCTCTCTCTCTCTCTCTCTATATATATATATATATATATATATATATATATATATATATTACTTTCACTGTTAAAACTCCGTCAACTCCATCTTCTCATTGTTCTATCAAAATTTATAAAAGGGACTAATTGCTTTAAAACTTAAAAACATAAATGTTCTCTTCAAATCTGAAGTCACTAGTTTTATATGGAAGAACATCAATTTAGTATAAAGGAATCATAGCAGAAAATCTTAGAACTGGAAACAATGTTACTGTTTATATTGAATAGATATAAAGTATAATCATTTAAATGGATTTATTCAATTAATATGTAAATATTCGAAAAAAGTTAGTCATTAAAAATAATTTATTTTCAATAATTACTAACGTATAAAATGACCTTCTATAGAAGGATGTCTGATAAAAAATATTTGGGAAAATTAATTAATTAATTGTCAATTCAATTAGGTAAATATTGCTTCCATTTGTAAAATAACTTTTACATCTACTATGATACTTAATCGAGTATTTCATGCTGTGATGTACTAACAGCGTATTGACCTACATTAAAACGAGTATGATCTTTTTCAATAGAAGACATAATTTTTTATCAATGGATCATGGTACTAGTTGATTACTAAATTTTACAAGATTCTAGACTTTTCATATTGATGAACATATTAGAATAAATGAACCACCTTATCAACTGAAAACGATAAGAAAACATCATTTGATATAGTAAAATTATAAAGTGAATATAAAATTCAAATTCAAATAATAATATGAACAGATGGAATTGTATACATTTTCAAAACTATTTTTGATGATCGGTAACAATTGAATATATGCAATTATTCATAATATCACGCAAAGAAAGCTATGACATTCTGGGATAAGAATTTTAAAATGTTATGGAAACGTAAATTAATGAGATTTAAGTGGCCCGGATCTGACTCCAATTGGATCGTACAATTGATTATTGTCAATATATACATCCTGACTATCCTTGTATGTAATCATCGATTTAAATTGCGTCGAATAATAACTAAATTAAACAAGTCAAATACGAGAATGGATATTTGAATACGTACATTTTGTACACTCGTTGATCAGTCCAGACAATCAGGAAAACGGAGCAAAGGAAACGAAGAAGAGAGACGGAGAAAAGCGAAATGACACACAATGGAGAAGGCGAATAGGTCAACTCGAATTATTCAAGCATTAATCTTTAATTATAGTCGAAAAAAATTAAAGTTCAGGCATCTTATGAGTAAGATAACTAATGCACACACATACGCTTACATGGAAAAATTCAAGGTTGATAAATGAATTTAAATTTGTGAGTTGGAGGTACCTTATAGTGATATATATATATATATATATATATATTGTAGTGACTGGTCTTATGTCGAACCCACATAGCTTATTCTTGCTTCTGGAAAAACCAATTTATCCATTCCTCTCAAAATACATTTCACCTTGTTAATTGTTCATTTATCAACCTTGAATTTTTCCATGTAAGCGTATGTGTGTGCATTAGTTATCTTACTCATAAGATGCCTGAACTTTAATTTTTTTCGACTATAATTAAAGATTAATGCTTGAATAATTCGAGTTGACCTATTCGCCTTCTCCATTGTGTGTCATTTCGCTTTTCTCCGTCTCTCTTCTTCGTTTCCTTTGCTCCGTTTTCCTGATTGTCTGGACTGATCAACGAGTGTACAAAATGTACGTATTCAAATATCCATTCTCGTATTTGACTTGTTTAATTTAGTTATTATTCGACGCAATTTAAATCGATGATTACATACAATGATAGTCAGGATGAATATTTTGAGACATCACTTGATAACACGAAGCAAACGGTCTATATATATATATATATATATATATGAATTCATTTTGATTCGTTAGGTTCTCATCAGCTACTTACGACCTAAAATATTTAAAAATGAACGTCATTACAGATATTGGCACACTTATACATATGATGGTGATTAAGGGTGAATCTATGTATCATGATACAGCGAAGATTTCAATAGAGTTTATAGGGTCATAAAAATTTTGTTTCGAATAAAGTTTGGGAGGGAAGGTTCCAGGACATTGAAATAGTGATTACAACTCATGGAGTTAACAAACATTAGATGATTGTATAACGAAGCGACTGAAAATAGATTAATAGTAATAAAGATATAAATTGAGATCAGTCAATTGTGAATTAAAGAAAAATAACAATGATGTAATTTAAACTTCAGAAAGAGTCGAAATAATGAGTGACGTATTACATAAAAGGGGGGTTTAATATTATCACGACAGAGAAAGATTTATTACTGTCTCTTTTTGTATATAAAGATCTGATTTCAGACGTTTGATTGCTATTATTTTGACAAATTTCATAACGTTGGAGTTTGATTATTTGTTAATCACTTAGAAGGACTTCAGTGCATCAACTTTATGTCCTATGTCAAGGAGATGTCTTGTAAACGGCACTACTGTATGCTTTTAATCCATTTGATCTTAAACTTTTTCGAAATATGTTCTTTAAATTAGACGTAGGTTCCTCTTTCTGTTCTACCAATGTAACTACTTTGGTAGATACATGTAAATTTGTTCATTATTTTATTTTTTGAACAAATCTTTCATTAAATTAATATTTGGTCACTTTAAATAAAAAAATTTAATCATTTAAAGTAAAAATTTCATTGATTTAATGACATAATTTCAGTGTTTTGCTACTTTTGTTTCCCATTTTACACTAATTAATGGTGTTTACAATCTGTTAATGAATAAAGCATAAATGATTTATATATATCATGATTATGATTTATTTTGTTTTGTCGTTTACCAAGATTTCATTTCAATTTATATTCCTATTCATAAATACATGGGAATTTTGTCCAGAATTAAGAATATTTTTCTTGTCATTTAAGTGTTCTAGGAAGGAATATTACTGATCATATCATATATATATATATAAAGATTAAGAAAAAACAGAAGACTAGAATAGTAGAAATTATATTAACAAATAAAGGACACTTAATTATTTGGATTTAGGTTGACATTGACAAATGTGATTATTTTTATTACTACTATAGTTTCTTAAATTATAATGATCTATATTTATTCAGAATATAACAATTAAAAACTATATCAGGAATGGTGAAAGCCACTGAAATACTGGAGTAATGTATATTTAGTAATATCAATAAATGTCAGTGTCATAGTTGTTTTTTAGAAAAAGCTTGTTATGTATAGGAAAATACAAGATGATTATTTCTTTAAAGTGTCTACTAATTTATAAAGTTTAGTCATGTAAAAACACCTCTATTCTAACATTAGTTTTCATTAAATAAATGAGTAATTAAATACTTGGTACATTTTTGATAGGTTAAAATGAATGAAGATAACTAAGTAATGATATTTCATGACTTTATTTTGATAAAACAGTATGGAAAGTTGTCAAGATTTGTTTTTCCTATAAAAGACTGTTTGAAAAGCATTCAATGTAAATACAACACGCTTAAAATTAATTTTGTACATATACAGTTACTAAATAGAAAACATTTAAACTTATGGTCTTAAAATTAATCTGTATAAGAGTGGTTTTTACGTGTTTATCCTATAAGCATAAACGATATGTGATCCTGCGTGTGAGATTGTGGATGAGTCTCATACTACGACGAAACGGTCATCCAGTGCTTTTAGGTTTTCAATAATGATCTAACATTGGTTGATTCATGATCTCAATCAAAAATTCGACAACCTCCATATTCCCATATTAAAGATAACTAATAATTCAAACTTTGTAAGAAAATATTATAGTGGATATGAAATATACATGATAACTAGAGTTTTTATTCAATACCTATTAGAAACACTACAAGCATAATTCCTTATGCAATCATTAAAATCTACACTGTATATCAACCACATAGTATCAATTCTAACTGTTTAAGCGTTTTAGGCATACTTTACGGATTAATCTTTCTGTTTACTTTTACTTACAAAGTTGAGCTATTGGCACTTATTTAATTTTGTGCTTGAAACAAAGTATACATATTCGTTATCATCATTAATATGTTTACATAATTTAAAATAAGAATGAAAATTGGGAAACATTTTTCGTATGAAAAATAAAAATTGGCTTTAGTCCCTGCCAAATAATTGATGACCTAAACATTTTATTGTAATTGTTTCCGATATTATGTAGTGAATAAAGTGAATGTAATCAATATTACCACTAAGAATGTGTCTGCAAAATGATTTAAACATTTGCAGCAAGAAAATATTAAAGATGGACATTCGGTGCATCCTAAGACATGAAAGGATGTGTAACAAGTACAAAATAATTTAATTAGAATTTCTGATGAGATTTGTTGATTTAGCTTATCATTTACCATTGGAAACCATAGATCTCTGCGCCTCTCATGTGACAGCGAATATCTAATAATGAAGCTTGAAATCTTTTTAAAAAGCTTTTCAGATGACATCAATTGGTCATCTGAATGTTTTGATATTTTCTATCACTTTTAACTCAATAACGATAATATCTCACCAATCAAACGATAAAAACGCGA